CTATGTACAACAGATTTAGGGAAACAAACGTATGTCAACGATGTCCCTTGAGCCAATAAGATTCTCTCCTGAGGTAGTGGCCAGTCCCATTGGCTGTTGGCTCAGTGAGTGAATGTAACCAGAAATTCAAATTATCGATTGATTGTCTAGCTCGAAGTGGTAGCTCGCCCATTAGCCGATCGATAGCTATTATGGGCGCGGCTACTCGCCGCTTCCATGCTAGCCGTTGGGCCCCTCCTAACAATATAAATATTCCATTTGACGCAATCGTGAAAAGGTCGGTGGGATACAAACCCACGCCAACGGTCTTTTACAAAATGTAAATGTATATACGAGAAGGTGGAGCCGTCTGAAGCAGGCAAGACCGAAATGGCCATTTTTGGCTTATTATAAGTCCTTAGCATTTCATAACCAGTCCCTGGTCTAGATCATCCGAGATTAGAATCCACAACATTTTTACACACTTTCATTGAACCATCATACATACTATAAGTCGCTATGTGAGTGCCTGTGGGGCCCTGAGGAGAACTCCAAGGCACAACAAGGCATAAATTTTCTGTAACCAGATCAGTGAGCTCCCCACTATCATGGTGTTCCAGATCGCAGCCAGCAAAACAACGGACTCGTGGCTGAATAGTAGAGTGTTATAACCGATGACCCAAACGTCGTGAGTTCGAATCTCGAGTGATCCAGATCTGGGATTGGGTGGACTGGCTGATGACGACCAATAAGTCCAAAGTGGGCATTTCGGTATCCATTGTCTTTGTCGGTTGCCCCTTATCATTATATGCACGTTAAGACGCTATGCGACTACCTGCGAGAGCCCTAAAGTGAATTCCAAGGCACAACGGACCATATATGTTTCGTAACCATATAGGTGAGCCCCACACTATCATATATATACAAATTTGCTGAATGCTAGCATTAAATATTCTCTTGCATATGCTAGCGGACAGGAGACTGCCCCCCCCTATTCGCCATTCGTTCACACACGGAGCAGGCCGCAGCAAGGCTAATAGACAGGTTCTGCCTTCCAAGGACTCACCGTCCCGGCTCACAATTCTATATCCCAAAAGCTGCCCTTCTTCCACTAATACTGAAACTCTGTCTGGTCTTACTTTTAGGGCGATGTCTTCACCTTTATGGCCGCCTATCACATCGTCAAGGGAACGCCCGCGGAATTTGCACTTCCAGCTAAAAAAGGCGGAAAGGTAAGTCCGGCGGTTGCAAATGCACAGGCCAAACAAAACATAAGCTATCCTTGTTGTTTCAATCGGGCAGGTCTAGGGCTTGCGTGCGCTTCCGCATGCGGTTGCATTGACGCCCCTAGACTACGGCGCCTGTGCGCCTGCTATTTAACGGTTATCTGTCCCTGCCCTCTACCCTCTCACTGACTAATTCTGTATTTCTGAAAGATTTCTAGCTGAAAATGTGGTTCCATCTGCCACCCTTCCTAAAGGCCAGATCAACGATAGCGCCGCTGCAGTCTGTGTGAGCGGTCTGCTTGGTTAACTTTAAGTCAGGCGGTTGTATAACCAATCAGCTCACTATCTAAAGGCAGTCACTTCCAGTTGTACTTCATTATTTAGTATACTGTCAGCACGCGTACTAGCCAAAAGTCCGGACATGCCGGCTTCGCCCGTCTTGCGCAGCCGCTTGACGCAGTTCTGAGGAGTTGAGCTCATAACTTTTTACTACTGACTGTTTGTTGGCAGTTTTTGAGTAGCTGATGCGTTGTGACTCGTATATATATGTAGATCAACTTTCGGAGCGAGAGTGAAGAAAGTTGTTTGGCAGGACTGATTTTAGAGGCTCCAAAAAATCCCGTCAACTTATAATAAGAAACTCCTTTTAAATGTTTAGCAGCCCGACTTTGAATTTTTTCGTTAAATTCCACCAATAGGAGGATGAATTTCCATTTCCGTTAAATTCCGCCTACATACGGTCGAATTTCCCTTAATTGGCATTCTTAACCTGCGCAACAGAGGTTCATGTTGATCAAAATTTATTATATTTTAGCATATTAAAACAAACAAAATCTTATCTAATTTGATATTTTCTGATCACTTCCGGCACAATTAAATATTAATTTAAGCTCACTAGCCAAGAATTAAATGCTTGACCACAAAAACCCTAAGCAGTTGGACGGAGGGGAGGGGATAGGTATCTAGAGGGGCCTTACAGGTCAGTTTTGCCGGTTGTTTTTTTCCAAAGCACTTGCTCCATGTTCGCGCAATCATTTCCTTAGAAAGTAGACAATAAAACTTCCAGCAATCCACTCGAAGGCAATCGTTGCTGCCAGGCTCTTTGCGTTTCTTCGGTT